AGAAAGAAAGAAAGAAAGAAAGAAAGAAAGAAAGAAAGAAAGAAAGAAAGAAAGAAAGAAAGAAAGAAAAGCAGAAAGGAAGGAAGGAAAAAAGAGTAATAAAGACAAGAAAAGAAAGAGTAGAAGTGAAAAGAAAGGAAAAAAAAGTGGAAAGCGACGGGACAAAAGAGAGCAGCCCGAAGAGAATCCCCGTCCCGAGGAAGCGCTGAAGCCGAAGCGCTCGCGGAGTCCCGGACCCGACTGCTTGCCCAACCAGCCCCGCAGAGGAGCCCCGGAGGAACTTGCTTGGGCTTCGGGCTGGAGCTCTCCGTCAGCGGGCGGGGCGAGGCGAGGCGAGGCGGGGCGGGGGCTGCCCAAGGAAGGCCGGCCGAAGTGTGAAAAGGCGAGAGGGGCCGGAGCCGAGTGCCTGGCGGCGCCTCGAGGGACTTGGACTTTACAGGGGCAGGAAAGCGGCGGCGGGGGGGGGGGGCGTCTGGGAATCCCTTTTCCCCTCCCCATATCTCCTCCCCCCCCCCATGCAACCCGCCCGGGATCCAGATCTGGCGGCGAAACTGATCTAGAATCACGCCCAACGCCGAGCCAAACAACCGGACTGAACACTCCAAACGCAGATCCGTGTCTGTGCGTCCCTACAACGCGCTTAAAACCGTGTTGCCTGTGGAGATTCTTAACCATCCAGGTCATGGTTGTCCCAAAGGTGCTTTCTTTTTTTTTCCTTTTCAAAAGGCAACTGGACTTTTTTTGTTGTTTTTCTTTGAAGACATTTCGCTTCTCCTGCGAGAAGCTTCTTCAGCTCTGACTGGATGGCAGCGGCGTCAAGGAGTATAGAAATCCTTCCATTCCCCACCACCATCCAGTCAGAACCGAAGAAGCTTCTCGGAGGAGAAGTGAAACATCTTCAAAGAAAAAAACAAGAAAGTCCAGTTGCCTTTGGGGCAGAGAGAACCACCTTTGAGACTTAAATTGTGTTACGGATGCCAGCATGGAGGCAGGTGAAGCTTCGTGTTGAGTTTTGGGGGGCTTTGGGTATTGTGTAGCTGGGTAAAGTCAGCAAGCTCATCCTCACCTCTAAAGGCAATCTAGTGCAGTGATTGCCAACCAGGGGGCCGGGGACCCCTGGTGGTGTGTGAGAAAATGTTGGTGGTCCGCAGAGAAATGTCACCCCCAATCCAGGCTGTGTGGGAAGACAAGGCTGTGCCGCCCACATGTCCCACAGGAACACAAGGCTTGCATTGCTTGCATTGTGAACAACACAAGATAGTGAGGGGAGGAGGGAAAGGCCAGGCGGTGAGGGGGTGGACTTGCCCCACTCACCCCATGTGCCTGGCCACCAGGTTGCTTCTTTCCACTTCTTCTGCTTTTGGCTGCACGCAAGGAAATCAGCAAAAGTCTTTCTTTCTCTCCCCCAAACTCCACCAGAAATGAGTCTTTGGGATCCTGTAAGGCCTCCTGCTCCAAGAGGTTGCGCTGGTGCGACAAAGTTTCACAAATACTCATTTCTGGCAGAGTTTGGGGGAGAAAAAGAAAGACTTCTGCTGCTTCTGCTGCTTTCTTTGCATGAAGCCAAAAGTCTCTCTCTCTCTCTCTCTCTCTCTCCCCACACCCAAGAACATAGCTGGAGATAGTATCCTGCGATCCCAAATAAAGAATGATCAATCGGCAGGAAAATGGGGTGGGGAATTTTCCTGCAGACTTTTGGGGAGATTTTCCCAGGGTCTCAGCCACTTTCTGCAGAGACTCTGGGAAAACGTCAGCAAGCCACCATCAGTCAAAATTCATATTAGTGGTCCGCAGGATTTAAAATTATGAGTTTGGTGGTCCCTGAGGTCCAAAAGGTTGGCGACCCTTGATCTAGTGGGATCTTCAAGAACGATGCTCTTCAGTCCTACAAGCCACGGTTCTTTTCCTTGCTCCTCGGAGCCACAAATTCAGGATCAAGTCCAAAAAAGTCAAAAATGCCCATGTCGAAGTTGTGTGTGATCAAAACCTTGTCGTTTTTTTGTGTGTGCAATACTATTTTGACTTTAAAAAAAAAACTATCCCTGAGGGGATATCCCTTCTCAAATAGAATTCCTATTTTCCACCCAGCCTAGAGATGTCAATTCAACATTCGATTCAGAATAGAGTTGGAAGGAACCATGGAGGTCTTCTAGTCCAGCCCCCTGCTCAAGCAGGAGACCCTATAGCATTCCAGACAAATGGCTGTCCAGTCTCTTCTTAAAAACCTCCAGGGATGAAGCACCCACAACTCCTGGTGGCAAGCAGTTCCACTGGTTAATTGTCCTCACTGTTAGGAAGTTTCTGCTTAATTCCAAGTTGCTTTTCTCCTTGGTTACTTTCCATCCGTTGCTTCTTGTCCTGCCTTCTGGAGAATAGCTTGACCCCCTCTTCTTTGGGGCAGCCCCTCAAAGACTGGAATACTGCTATCCTGTCACCTTCTAGTCATTCTCAAGATCCTGACATGCCCAAGGAACATTGGACCTCCGACTTGTGAAGCAGCAAGAGAGAAGACAGTGCCTCTGAGCATGTCGAGCTGCCCAAATTCATTCGATCATAATCTGGGCGGCATATTAATTGAATAATTAAACAAATAACATAGAATGTTTTCCCTTGGATACCGCATAGCTGTTTGCGGTAGAACATAAACCAATGTTTCGTGTATTTACACATCAAGAATTTGAGGTTGTGAATCACTTGCGCACCTTGAAAAAAAAGGTGCTATTTGTTGTCTCTTGACTGCAACCCTACCAAGATTTATCTGTGATTTCTAAATAGATCCAGGTAGATTTCTTTAAGCATCCTCCTTATCCAGGCACAGGGGAACTTCCTGCTTTGTAGGATTAAAAGAGAATAAGATGACACAATGGCAGACTTCATCTATTTTTTGGCCTGCCACGCCTGATAAAATGTCATCACCCGAAAAGACCCAAGAAGCTTCTTCAGCTCAAGCTATTTACCTAATATAGGTAAATATTGAGGGGAAAACATCCACCACCACTACCTCATAAAAACAATATAGGTAAATATTCCCAAAGGTGCTTTTTCAAGAGGCACCTGGACTTTCTTGTTTTTTCTTTGAAGGGGGTTTGCTTCTCATCCAAGAAGCTGAAGAAGCTTCTTGGATGAGAAGCGAAACGTCTTCAAAGAAAAACAAGAAAGCCCAGGTGCCTCTTTGGAAAAAGCACCTTTATTCCCGAGAATCTCCATACATCAGTCCCAAAAGTGTTTGCTTGCCAAAGAAAGACTCCGATTACAGTTTGGGGATCTCAATTGGCATGGGGAATTGACAACCATCGATGGACAGCCCTGACTCGAATTCATGTTGCTCCCCTCTGGGAAAAGTATCTCTAGCAGGACTTCCAGATTCTAGAACAGCTTTGTTTCCTAGGCCATTTGTCTGGGAAACACGCAAGATTCATTTTTCTCACCATGTACGTATATACATCCAAACTGGACTGTGTTGTCATAGAATATATGTGGGTATATGCATAATTTTGTATTTATTTATTTTGTCATGTTTATATAGTGCAGTGGTCCCCAACCTTTTTTGTACCAGGGACCAGTTTCACGATTATTCATTCTTTGCGGCCTGGTACAAAATGATCCACGGACCGGTACCGGCATCAGCACGCATGACCAAGGCAAGGCGAGCCAAGCGACTGGCCAGCCAGCCGTCCCTCGCTTCTCCCCGCCACCTTCGACTCCTCCTTTGTACCTTCTTGCGGTCGATGGGCTTTTCGGGCTCTTTCTTAATCTCCTCCTGAGTAACGCGAGACTCCACCGCCATCGGGATGGCTCTTCGTTCGAAGCCGCCCCACCCTTTCGACGAAACTAAGGCGCGAGGATTCCTTCAGCACCCAAACACCGTTTTCCAACCGACAACCGACAAGCTCACCCAAAAGCACTTTCTCAAGCGTCGTCGAAACAAGATGGCGGCGCCCAAGCAAAGTAGGCCCTACTTTCATTCTTTGTGGCCCCGTACGAAATGATCCACGGACCGGTACCAGTCCGGGGCCCAGTGGTTGGGGACCCCTGATGTAGTGTATATTAGAGGTGGTGACCCTTTGAAAGCTGTCTGCAATGAAATTTCATTTTAATGTATGCCGATTAGTGTACATTAGCTCTATACCTGTGTTTTGCTATGAAACGATGTGATCAGGCTCAGTTTTGGGGGAGGAAAATAAGAGGGGGGGGAATTCTGCCTCTGCCTACCAGCATCCATCAGTATTCATCTGGCTAGTGTCCTGTCAGTGTGTGAGAGAGTTGAGGGCTGTTTGCAAACTGAAACATGGAAAATGAAAGAGTATTTGCTGTGTGAGCAAGAAGGCGACAGCAAAGAGCCTGGGCGTGGCTTAGCTCAACTGTTCTGTACTAAAGCTGGTTGCTGCTGTGAAACTAAAACTGAAATGGAAACTCTTCTCCTCTGCTTGTGTTTTGCATTTAGAACAGATTTCTTTTCAGGTGGGGAGGGGGAGTAGAACTCCTTAGCATCAGAGTCTGTTAATAATAATATACAAAATACCGATGCTCTAATGATCATTTTGGAAAATCCTTTCTTAGCGAGCACCTAGAAGCTAAGAGGAATATACGTGCCAAATTTCAAGTATGTAGACTTTACGGTTCTGGAGATTTTGTGATGATGTGTGACTGGTATTCCACTTTTATATATAGAGATTCAAAGTGACAGTAAAGTTATTATTTTATTCTATTCTATTCTATTTCCGGGATGGCAGAGGGGCAGTGGGAGATAGCTAAAACAAGTGGATGAGATGGCTTGGGGAATGAAATTAACTGATGGCCAAAAACATTTTCTTGTGCAAAAAAAAGAGCCCAACATTTCATGACGTTTTGCTGCATGGATCTGAGGAATTCCATTTCTCTCTGGCCTGAATCCAAGAGCTTCTTCTTGTTTAAGGTGCTGGCTTAGAAACCAGGAGATAGTGAGTTTGAGTCCCGCTA